TGAAATATTTCGAATAAACATTGATAGTCAAAATAGACTGCGATTTATGTTAAAAATAATCGATAATTAGAATAAACGCACTTAAGACTTTAGACAAAAGGAAGCAACCAACTAGAAATCTCTGCTCTATGGAATAAGGGTGAATATAAGATATCAGTGATGCTTTATTTTGATGACATACAAGTATAATATCGGGGTATGTGACGGAAGATTAAGAAACTACTTGGATTAATGCGCTGAGGACTCTTGTAACTTTAAGTAACGAAAGAAAAATGATACAAGAGAAGAAGTACACACTGATCGATAATCGCACTCATGACATTTCTCCTCTCGATTTAAAAAGAATATAGGCTTTCTCGTTACAAACGTCTTCTATAACTTAATTAAACCCATTCAAATTACGCATATAAAAGTACTTCCAAAAGAGATTAAAATTCCTTATATCTATATATGTATATAAATGTATTATTATGTGTATTTTTATTTTTATACTTTTATTTTTATACTTTTATTTTTTTCTATTCAGTTTTTCATGTACCTATTATTTAAAATTTTTATAGAAAGCTCATGTATTGAAAATAGAGTTGTGTGATCTAAAAGTAATGCAAAAACATGTATACGTGCCTAGCAGATGTTCTACTTCACATTCTGCACATTTAGATACATATGTATGTTAAATGCAATATTAGTTTTTAAAGGCATTAGAAATGTAAAGAACATTTTTTTGAGTTATGAAAAGCGCGAAGAAGAGAATGAAATGATTATATACAGTAAAGGAGGAATAGAGATTTTAGAGTAATCAACTTTGTTATTTGCTTTTAATGAATGTACTATTTAGTCATTCATGTCAAACACAATTTTTTATCACTGCCCATGTATTATATATACAAATAATCCAAAGTGTTGACAGATAATATACAGTGAATCAAAAAAGTTTAGAGACAGCAAACGTTTTAATTGTTAATAAAGTAACAATAATAATATATAATAATAATATATAATAATAACAATAATAATGTATAATAATAACAATAATAATGTATAATAACAATAATGTTTGCGTTACGATAATAATTGTTAAGTGCAGCTAGGTAATTGGAATGTAAGATCTAGTGCTTATAGATATAAAAATATATATAAAATGCTTTATTTAAATATTTTGAAAAATAAAATGTAATTCCTAGTGCAGATAAGTTGGGTTTAAATCGACAAACATGTATATACTATTAAACAAACAAATTCAAACATATTTTTCATTCATTTCAGGAATGAGGTGTCCTTTTTTTGAATAGCAGAAAAAATCACTTTAGTTGTTAGATATGAATTTACTATAAAAGTATGTTGAGTCATAACTTTGTCCGATTCGGTCAATTATGTCAATTATACTATGATCTCACTGGTCTCATTTAGGCAGTTTAGCTCATTAAAGCCGCTAATGAGAATAATTTATGCTACAAAGAGCTTTTATATAAATAAACTCATTAATCATAAATCAATTGATTTAAGGCAAAAAATGACGAAAATAAATTAAAATCAGTCCTTAAAAATAAATTTTCCACAAGCGATATGATCAAAATTTGATACATATATGTATTTGTCAGATGTTTTATATGTAAAATGTAAAAAACAAGCTATTTCGCATGCATAAATCAGCATATGTCAATGGAAATGAACAAATCTTGATTTCATTAACATAAGTAATTTTAGCAGCAGTGGAAACATGAAATATATCCAACTTAGAAAAAGTGTGTGCAGATGTTTTTGAACTCGAAGTCTTCATAAGCTCAACATTTTCTTTGAAAAATGGTACTTCGGGAGAGTTATGGAAATTTTACTATACTTTAAACAACTTTTTTTAAGGGTGTCTAAATTTTTGAAAATGAAAAACATGCCCTAAAATAAAAAATAATTTTGTTTTAAATATAAAATATAAAATTAATATTTTTTTCTAAAATCTTATTAATATTTTTTATTTCATGTTTTATGGAAAAATATTATTGGGAAACAAAGTTTGTAAATGGCTCTGTACCTAAACTTTTTTGATTGACGGTGTAGAAGTATATATGAAATATATTTATATACATAATAGATATAAAAACAGTAATAAGTGTATATAAATAATATTATTGTAATTATTTTATCACTTTCTTTAAAACTTTCACATTAAGGTTTAATATATTTTGATTTATGGGTTAGAGTTCCTTCGGGTACAGGCATAAATATTAGAATTTATGAAAATTGATGTACACGCAATACACTTGAGATATCGAAATGAACATTTTAGTTAATTAAAAATAAAAACAAAAATGGATTATGTACAAGTAATGAGATAAATTCTCTTATATATTGTTATGGTTGAATGTTTTTAAAAACACTGCATTAGAAATAAAAAAACAAAAAATTAACAAAAATAATGCCACTTAAATTGATCCGAGAGAGAGAGAGAAATTGTTAAAAACAACACAAAGTAACAACAACTTTCATAAAACAAAACGTATTTCGCTTTCATTTACGAGTTCAACAAATCATAGCAGGGAGGGAGGGTACGGACGTGCAGGCATAGAAACTTTTTTAGTGAATAAAAAGCATTTGAATGAAGAATGAAACATGCAAATTAATCAATTCTTTTTAAGCAGATAACTTATGTTTACTCAAAAAAATTTGATTAAAGTTATTATTAAAAAATTTAATTTATATTTAATTTAACAATTGTATTTTCAATATGCAGCAATACAGAAATTTAATTAACAAATAAAATTACTCACTCTTTCTTTTCCGCCGAGAGCGCTTGTGTAGTTGAAAAATTTTTGAAAGTTGCACTACACAGGCAACGACCGGACAAACTAGGCAATTTGGTTGAAATAACTTGGAACAAACTCATTTTACTTTTAATTTTTAATTCAATTGATTAAAAAAATAATTTATTTAATTTATAATAAAACTAAATATTAATTTCACATGGAACAGGAATAAGAAAAAAAAGTTTAAATGCTTGAAATAAAACTAACTTGCTTCACTTCTGACGAGTACGTCTTCTTTCATTGACGAAATTGTCCACACTACTTGTTCTCGTTCAGTCTCGTTCAGTTGTTTCTTCCCATAACGCCAACGGGGGCAAAAATGAAGACCTTGAAAGCGGCGACACGAGCCGGAATAAATTCTGTT